ATCTATAATTAATATGCATATTTTGTATTTTTATGCTTTTTGTCACCTATTTAGACCTTAGATTTCCATTTAGTCAGTTTCTTGAGTAGGCCCCAGGGTGGATGTAGCCTGGTGGCTGTTAACTTCTTCTTTAGATCTGGCTCCATGGTACAGCCGGACAGTACACTCTGGTACCTAAATAGGTCAGTTAGCATTCTCTGGAAAAACACAAGCATACCCTTTGCCCAGGTTAGTTGTGGACTGAGTCTCTTTTCATTGTCCAGTATGAAGAGCTCTCCAAAGAACAGTTTTTAGCTTTTTTTCTCTTACCTAGTTTGTCTTTCTGTTGCTATAAAAGTATAAAAATTTAATAGTATATATTGACAAGTGAAGATGTCAGAATTGACTCTCTTTTGCTTTAATAGAATTTTGATCCTACAGTGGCCTTTGGAGGCCATGATTAGGCCTTTTATTATTTGAATGGATGACAAATCAAGTGACTATAATCATCTTGATGATTTGCTGCATTCTGTGTGCTAGTATTTTATTGAGGATTTTTGCATCTAAATTCATTAGAGAGATTGGCCTGTAGTTCTCTTTTTTATTTGGTTTTCTCTGGTTTTGGAATCAGATTAATACTTGTTTCCAGAAATGAGTTTGGAAGAATAAGCAATTCTTTCAATTTCCTTGAAGAGTTTGAGAAAAGTTGGCATTAAATCTCTAAATTTCTTGTAGAAATCTGCTGTGAATCTATTGGGACCTGGACTTTTATTTCTTCATAGTGCTCTTATTTTACTACATTTTCAATTTTGTTTTTTGTCATTGAGTTATTCACAGTTTGTACATCTTCTTGACTCAGATTTAACCTTTCATATGTATCTAGGAAACTGTCAATTTCCTCTGTGATTTTGGAAGTAAAGATTTTGGAAGTAAAGATTTTGGAAGTAGGTACTTATGATTTTCTGAATTTCTCTAGGTTCTGGAATTACTTCACCCTTTTCATTATTTATTGCATGAATTTGGTTTTTTTCTTCCCTTTTCTTTTATTGCTTTGGCTAAGGTTTATCAATTTTATTTATTCCTTCAAAGAACCAACTCTTTGATTCTTCTTTGTATTGTTTTCTTTGTCTCCAGTAAATTAATTTCTGCTCTAATCTTTATAATTTTCTGTCTTATTTAGGCTCTGGGCTGACTTGCTCTTCTTTTTCTAAGAGCTTGAGGTGCAGCATAGCATCATTTATTTGGGCTTGTTCTGTTTTTCAAATGTGTGAATTTACTGCTATAAATTTTCCTCTTAAGACAGCTTTCATTGCATCCCATAGGTTTTGGTAAGATGCATCTGCATTTTCAATTGATTGTAAATATTTTTTTAATTTTATCTGTGACTCACTGATTGTTTATGAGGTTATTTATTTTCTACATGTTTATAGTGTGTTTGTAGATTCTTTTGGCAATAATTTTCAGTTTTATTGTACTATGGTTAGATAGCATGCATGGGATAATTTCAATTCCTTTGCAGTTACTTAAGAATGCTTTGTGTGTTAGTATATGGTATGTTTTGGAGAATGTCCCACATGCAGCTGAGAAGTGTGTATATTCTGTTGTTGCTGGGTGAAACACTCTGCAAAGATCTACCAAGTCCATTTTTTAACAAGTTTCATTTAGTTCTGTTATTTCTTTGCTAAATTTTACCCAGATGATCTATCTTTTTGTGACAGTGGTGTGTTAAATCCCCTATTACTATTATATTATTGCACATTTGATTTTTCATACCTGTTAAAATTTGTCTTATGTAGGAGGGTGCTCCTACATTGGATGCATATATATTTATTATTGTTATCTTTTTCTCTCGCAGTTCTCCCTTAACAAGTATGTAGTGAACTTCTTTACCTCTTTGAATGATTTTTGGTTTGAAGTTGATATTGTCAGCAATCAGGATAGCTAACTGCTTTTTTTCGATTTCCTGTGGAATGGAGAATTGTTTCCTATCCTTTGACTTTCAGTCTGTGAATTTCCTTTTGATTTAAATTTGTTTCTTGTTTGTAGCATATTGGTGGATTTTGTTTCTTAATCCACTCAGCTAGCTGGTTTTTCCTTTTTGATTGGTGAATTGAAGCCATTTACATTAATGGTTACAACTCATCCATATTGGCTTATCTTTTTCTTTGTATTTATTTATTTATTTTTTCTCCATTCTCTTCTGTTTAGTTTGATTTAATTATTCATTTTAGAAAACAGCTGTAGAATTTTTAAAAAATTCTTTACTTTTTAATTTTTTAGTATATTTGGTTCTTGCATGGTCTAACTATGAAACTTGAACTTGTAGGGATCCTCCTGCTTTCAGCCTCCCTAGGGCTAGGATTACAGGCATGTGCCATGGACTCTGGCTGGCTCAGCCCACGCTTGGGGCTGGGGCTGGTGCGGCATGTGGTGCTAGGGGTTGAACTTTGGTCTCTGTGCTTGCCTAAGCTTGCCTAAGCAGGCACTTTAGTCCACTGAGCTATTTTGCTGGCCCAATTCTCTACCTTTTAATCTAATACTGTCATTATTTTGTTGCTTTGTCACAGCTTTGGCTACTGAGAGTTCCTTTAAAATCTCCTGTGTCCTTTATGAACTCATCACTTTGGGAGCTTGTTCTACTTTTTCTTTCTTTTTTATTCCTATAATTTTATTGAGAAACAAATAGCAATGAGACAGTTTCAAACCAAACTGGTAGGACAGTTTCAATAATTAACACATTACATAATTCTTCCTAGTGGTTAATTGCTGTACAAGATGCAGACATGATATACTATTTACAAATACTATTAGAACAAATCCCTCTATTCATTAAGAGAATGTAACTATATATCTATCCTAAAAGTTTTTTTTTTTTCAGAACCAGAGATTGAACTCAGGCCCTTACCCTTGCCAGGGAACATATTGGCTTATCTTTGTCATATTATTTTCCTGTTATAGGTTCTGTAATTTTCCCCTTTTTAATTACTTGCTCTGTTTGGTGGTTTCTTTCTGTTACTGAAGTCGTGATCACTTTTGTCTCTTTCTAGAATATCTGTCAGTACTCTTGGTAGGGTTGGTTTGGTGGTCATGAATTTCTTCAATTGTTCTTTGTCACAGAATTATCTTATTTCACCATTGAATATGACAGATAGTTTTGCAGAGTACATCAATCTGGGTCTGAAGTTATTTTCTTTCAGGACCTGAAATACTTCACTCCAAGTAGTTTGAGTTGAGATATCTGCCATGATTCTGATGGGATTTCCATTGTAGCTGATCTGTTTCTTCTCTCTAGCAGCTTTTAATATTCTATTCTTTCACTGAATTTCTAAGCTTTTGATTATTATGTGACTAGGTGTAGATTTATTGTTATTATGGCTGTGTAGAGCTCTATATGCTTTACTTATCTGTGTGTCATGTTCTTTTCTCAAATTTTCTGCTAGTATTTCTGCAAGCAGTCTTTCAATGTCATTTGTACTGTCTGCTGCTGCTTCATTAACACTTATTATTCTTATATTATTTTTCTTTGCATCATCTTGTAGCTGATGAATTGTTATTTGTAGGTCCCTTGCTAGTTTTTTTCTGTATTGTTAGGAATCAATTTAATTTGTACAGGTGATCATGAAATATTAGGTGGTTTGATTTTCTTAAATCTGGTACCAGACCATGATGTCAAGTGTTTATGTCAAAAGGCAGTGCAAAAATGTCTATTAAAACTGCTTACTAGTGGCAAGCAGCACAAAACACTTATTTTCTTTACAGACACCCTTCCAAATCATTCCTGATGCATTCTCTCTCCCTTTCAGAGAATCAGCTGTGCAGACTGATGAGGTTAAAAACCAATTTTCTAAAAAACCAAAATAGAACCTATTTACAAAACATGCAAAAGAATTTTATGTAAGATGTTACTGCAGAATTAGCTTAAAGAGAATACAGCAGAGGGACAGAATATACCTTACTCCTACAAATATAGGTCCTTTCCCCTACTTTCTGGAATACATTTTTTAGTGCATGGGCTATAGAAAGTCGCATACACTGCAAAGACAGAAACAAAGATGTTTGTAAATTCTTTATATTTCCAGTAGCTGAGACAATATATCTGAACGCCGAGGTTACTTCTAGTGGTGAAACCAGAGCCAGCTATTAAGCAGCCAGAAAGGAACAGTAATTGAATACATGACCATTTCTCTTTTAGCACGTTCTTTGTTTTCCTCTTCTAGAAGTTGTAAGCATCTGTTTAGTTTGATTATCTGTCGTCTTAATGAAGCTGCATCTACAACAGTCATGTCATCCGCTGTTCCTTCAATTGTTGCATCTACATTTGAAATGCCATACCTGACTTTGTCATGATGAGGATTGAAAGTGGCAGCAGCAGACCCACCGTGCAACACAAGTATAGCATTGTTTCTGACCAGCTGTCCACTTTGGCGAACAACATTTTCATTCATAGAGTGCTCTCTTTTTAGCCTGCCAACTGCACAGATTTCATCACTTTGAGGGGTTGGAGAAGGTTTTTCTTAAGTCCAGAAAATCTAGCTGTCTCTCACTTAGTGTAAGTACACGACGTGGTGTTTTTATTGCCAGAGGTTTTAAAGGAGTCGACTGAATAAGGTCAAGATCTGCTGGTCTTAAAAACGAAAAGTCTTCATTATTTTCTGCTACAACAATCCTCTCTGGAACTTGCATGATCACACTAGCATTTGGAACTCCTTCTTGGAATCCTTGTTCCAGGGTAGCATTTGGTGGTGCGACTTTTAATTTACCCTCATTTGCTAATACCTTTGGTGTATTTCATTTCATACTGAATTGGACCAATTTCTGCCATCTCAGCAGCAGTGGGAGAAGGAAATGCTGCCACGCTAGCCAAATGTGTACTAAGTACTGCTCGTTGTCTGGCACTATCTGCTTCTGAGCTTCGTGTTAATCCTTAACTTGCTTCCCATGCATGGGCTGGACTTGGAGCCTCCTCAGTCCCTATAACCCGAGGGTGCGGACACTTCCTTCTACAGCAACAGCTTTTCCCGTGGTTCTGAGTCTGCACAGAATCACAGACTTACAATACAGAGGAGGCTGCTGAAGACAACTTCTAGGAAAGGCCCAAGTGTCCCGGAGTTGAATTACCCCTGGGCACCCCCCCCCACCCCCAGCGTCCTGGACAGGGCCGCTGCCCGCGGGCTCCTGGGGCGTTCCCCTTGCTAGTTTTAAAAGATCTTTTATTATACATCCATTAGCTGCAACACTGTCTTCAAGGTCTGAAACTCTACCTTCAGTTTCATTCAAGCGGTTTTGCCAGCTTTCAGTGGAATTTTTAATATCCTGGATACCTGTTTGAATCTGTTTCATGCACTTTTTTTAGTTTCTAAAAACTTATTTTTATTAATTTAATTCTTTTCACAACAAAATGGTATTTTATTTATACTTTTGCAAAGTTAGTAACATATGACACCAGGTTTCCTAGTGACTAATAGCTGACTTTAACCAGATAGGATGTTTATCTCAGGACTGAGGTAGCCTGTTTGATTTAGGCACTGAGATCTAGTCCCACCTATGTTTCATGCATTCTAATACTTTCCTCTCTTGTTCATTCAGTGTTCCCATAATTTTTCTATTCTCCTCTATTTTTTAATCTATGTCTTCTTTTGCTCTGCTAAACAATTCCTTTGCCATTGTTGTCTTTTCTTTTTGGATCTGAGAGATTATTTTTGCTCTTATTTCTTCTATAGCTTGATGAACTTCATTCTTTACTTCAGCTGCTACCATTTCAGAGGTGTGTGATTTCCAAGTTCTTGTATGTCTTTGTCTCATGGATTTGTTGTGGGTGTGCTACAGGATTGAGATTGCCTTTTGCACCTGCATTTGGCATTTTTGAACCTCTGAATAATCACCCAGAGTCCTGCAGGCTGCCCAGAGTCTGCCAAAGTTCTTCAATGGCCCCAGGAAAGCTCAGTGACTGCTCACGGTGGGCCCACAGATTGAAGTTCTCCTGTGTCCCACAGACCACTCAGTATTCTCCTAAGTTCTTAAAAGTTTAGGGTGGCAGCAGCAGAAGCTCTAGGTCTGTGCACTGGAGGCTAAGGAAGGTCAGAGCTTAGCAGAGGCCCACAGGCTGCCCAGAGTCTGCCAAATTCTTAAATGGAACTGCTTCATTTATTTGTATAACAAATTTTTTCTTTATGTTTGGAAAGTTTTCTGCCATTATTTCTGTAAATAGGTTTTTTAATGTCTTTTGTGCTGTCTCCATATTTCTCACTGACTCTAATCCATCTTTTATTATTATTATTCATTTCATTTCTCAGCTGTTGGGTTGATTTTTTCATGA